GGCTCTCAAAAAATTCAAATATTTCGAAAGTGAAGCAATATATTTTGAACGGCTTTGGTAGAAACTCATTAAACACTATCCTCTATAGACATATATTAAAAATTAGTCAAATTAGCGAACACCGACTGAGCAGTTTTTCTATAAGTGGATCGTAATTCCACCAAAATTGGCTCATACACATATAGACTAGAAAAGGTTTTTGTTCGCGTCCAATACAAAAAACTAATGTTCGTCAAGAAAAATCAAACTTGATTATTTTGAGGAACTTATTAAAGATTCATGGTTTTTTCATTGGGAAAAGACTATTTAATGCAGTGCGAAGCACATCATTTATATAGTCGAATACTTTGCGTGTTTTTTTGCTGTAACAAAATTCGTACTATGTGTTGCGATGTTCTAGAGAACAGCGAGTCGCTAGAAATATTGTTCAAACTATGTTAAAGAGATCTTTGTCTCGAGATGATACAAAGCTTTTTGAATTTCAATAATTTCCACAAAACGGTGATTTCGATGATTTGACCTCCATTTTGTACCTGAAATAATTAAATATGTGGTGAGCTAGTCTCCAATCAACTATTATATACAAGAGAAATAATGAAAACTTTCGACAGGACAAGATCGATTCTAGGGAAAATCGCTTTTCGTTCTTATGCTAATTAAAACTTCATTGTCGAAAATTGAGATCGCTTCGCATCACATTTATGTAATCTTTTGTGAATTTTCTTCTTTTACTTACCAGACATACGCATCGAAAATGTTTATTCTCCGTTGTGATGATTTCGAGAATGGAGAGTAAGAAAATACACAGATAGACGATCTTATACTGACTTATTTAAGCATCGAAGAAGGTCATGAATTCGTAGGGAATCTTTTTCTGTACCTCTATTACACTATAAATATCAGGAGTAAAAAAGCTTATTGCAATCTCAGCAACAGAGTGGATATGTATCTCACTAAACAAAAATATATCAAGCCAAACTTAACATAGCGGGTTGTTCTAAATTTCATCCCCTTTCTACATTACGGTAAGCTTTTTACACTTGATATTCATAGTGTAAGAAAGCTTTATATAATTTAGGTGATATTATTTGTTTTGATTTCAAATATAAGAGTTTTCTATGGAAAAATATTTCCTACAAATTCATACTGTTAAAACAACTTTTAACTTCTTCAATGGGTGAATAAGACAATATAAGAACATTTATCGATGATTAGTGTATAGATAGGAGATCAGTAAAACAATTTTTCAACATGAAATTTCTCTTAAAATAGAATATCTGACAAAATTTGTACAACTTTTGCTAATGATGCATCAAAACAATAAAATTGAGTAAATATTATGAAAATTACGTCGAGTGCAAGTTGTTCTATTAAATCATGTATTATAATGAAAATTTTAACATAGAATATGGAAAATGGCATGCTGTGATTGTATCATCAATAAAACCTAAAAGGATCAATGAATTCATCTGACATGTTTCACTACGTAGTATACTAGAGACTATATAGACTGTAATCGGACGAAAATGAGATGATTCTAACCTAGTCAGTTTTTGAGATATATAAAAAAAAAATATAAAATTTTATCATTCTTCGCTTGGCAGCATAATATAAGAATATCGATCAAAGTTGTTCACTTCTGATTTAGATAGTTAAAGGAAAACTTTCGCTTCTACAATAAATCTTATACTGCACTATGTATTCAATCGAAAGTTATTCAAGATAAAGTATATTTTGTTTTCGGTGTCCGTCTCTTAGAATAGTTCTAAGATGATTTTGAATAGTTTTGTGTAGGTCAGAAAAAACGTTGAAGACAAACTAGCCGTCATCTTCTCAAGTTTACGAGGTTATTATTAATAAGCCAATAGATTTGTTCGAACTTTTCTGATGTTACTTGATGGTAGATACGACTGATCGTATCCCGTCTTAAACATCTTCGCAATTTTCAACTGTTCTGAGAGATAGATATTGATTACTGAAAATGAAAAACAATGCACGATGGACTTAAATGCACAAATGAAAGTTTTTCTTACATAACAAAATCAGAAATGAACAACACACCTATACCCTCAAGTTCTTATTTTCATTTATGTCGATGCTCACCTCTTTGTCTAACATCAATACAAAAACTATATGATCTTCATTATTAAGAATCTCATTCAGAGTCATCATCACATCATCACGATACTCCACCAAAATTGATTTTACGTACACCCTGATCATCATGGATTATCACATCCATTTTCATCATAAAGTGCTGCTGAAAATAATTCAAGTCCGCAACATCGAACACATGAAGGTTATTTACAAAATCGAGGTCGTCTATTAAAACAATAGGGAGAATGATAGTTTGTTGTTGTTTCTGTTCGACATGAAGTAACCATGTCATTCTTTTCTATTCTTTATTTATGTCTTCTTTTCTAACTTTGATATACAAAGTGTTTCGTACGTAGGGCTAGTGTTTTTCTTGCAGCTATCTTTTTTCTCTTACCCTTGTCCCGTCCGTCGTATAAATAAATACTTTCGTTTGTTAAAATAATTTGAATATAAGCATTTGTTAAAATGTCGTCCTCCGCCTCGAATGCGACTAAAATGAAGTATAGGCAAGGTCATGAACAGCCAACAAACTGGACTTAGTGATAATGCGTCAAAAGATTTGGATAATTATAATCTAGGATGACTTGTACTTGATTGTGTTGAATTAAAAGATTCTGGACATGGTCATACATCGAAGAAATTTCAAAATCATCCAGAAGAAGATATTGTACATGATATCTTACCAACAACTAGTACAGATGTTCATGATTAAATACAAGTAATAGAGTTTATAAAATATATGATAAAGGTCTCTATTTATTTTTATTTATACATCGGAGTAGCTTAATACTATTTTAAATATCGACGACAAGGTGAAATACGATTATAAAAAACAAGGAAATCTTTATTTGATTATAGGTTGTAAAAAAACGCCAACATCAAATAAAGATATGGGTTAATATTACAAAAAAAAGAACGTGAATTGTTGGCGTTCGTTAAAAGCAAACAAATTGATGCGGAAGAAAAGAAAAAAAAGAAACAAGAAATTTATCATTTAGTCGCAGTAAATAGTGAGACTGATGTTTCCATCAAAACATATGAAGAAGATAAAAGTAAAATATCTTGCATACTTTATTTTGGTTTATTAATATTTTTTTAGAACTCAATGAAGAAAAAATATTAAAAAACCCTCAAGAAAAGAAAAATAAACATGAATATCAATGAAGACATAGTAGTAGAATAGTGATAAATTGATCGTCGACGAAAGCGATGAAAAAACAATCATCTCATTAATTATGTTTTGTGTTCGTCTTCGATGATCAATCTTCTAATTGATGCACAAGAGAAAACATTGCAGTATCAATGATTGTTTATTTATCAATGATCATCATTGACTGACAGTTTAAGTTTAAAACATACGTATATCGGCTTGCCCACGTAACGCTAGCAGCAAAGTATAACAGAGTTACGCTTTTTGCTCATTTTATTTTGACCATAACCCTGAAAGGGCAAGTTGTAGAGGCGAGCGACGTCTTAAATTGAAGAAAAATTTGTTTTGAAGACTTTGAAATCTGTTCGAGCTCATAAAAATGTGTTTCCGAAAATCGATAACCAAAATACTGACAACCCCCTTTTTCGATGGATTTTGCAAAAGTAGGTTTTAACATTTCAGTGATAGGTTTTTGAATAAACACGTTTATGAGCTCTGGCAGATCTCAAAATCTTCAAAACAAATTTCTCTTCAATTTAAGACGTCGCTCGCTTCTCTGCGACTTGTCCCTTCACAGTTATGATCAAAAAACAAAATGAGCAAAAACGTAACGCTATTACGGAGTTACGTGGACAAGCCGATATAAGGAATGATTTTCCTTATATGAAATCATTCTATTCAATCGAATATCTCATCATCAACACGTTGAGTAAGTACTCTAATAAGTTTTCTTTTTCAAACGGTGCAATATACATTTATCATAACGATTGTGCAACTTATAATGAAATTTATAGAATTTATATGCTACCATATTATTGTTTCTATGTGTTATGTTAATGTTATATATATATATATATATGTTACTCACATTGTAAAGCTATTATCAAAATTTTTTACAATGACAATGGATAACATTAAATTATAATAAATATGATATTATATTAGAATAAAATTATTTATAATGTTCTGAAGTTGAATTATCGACTTCAATATTATCATTTCGCTCGAACTGATCATTATGATCAATATTACACAATGGATTACAATGATATTGACATGAAATAAATTTTATTATGTTTTAATGCACTAAATTATAATGAATGATATAATTCACATCACAAATACAAAAAGCAAACCAGGTATGTTGCTTGAAATTATCTTTTTCTACTCAGAGAAAATAAAGTATTAGAATAGTGTAAACTAAGTTAATTTCTATTTCAAACTAAGGGGGGATATAAAATTTAGAAGTCCTAGTGGTCAATAGGACTTCTAGAAATAATTTTTTATCGATAAGGTAGACATGTCATCTATTCTGAATGGAGTTGGTTTTTTTTGTTTAAATACATTAAATCCATGTATTTTTAATCGTAATACACAGAAGTAAAACAAAAAATTTATCTGCTAAATTATTTTTCTTTGGTAATAGTATGTTATTGTGAAGTAGCAGATTATATGACAGCCTGTTAGATGGCTTCATAATCTAACCCAGGGAGATTCCTTGTGTCTGTTATGGCGAAAGCAGTGTAGTATTCTGGAAGGCCATTATGTTCGTAGGTCCTTGTCGTCGTTATTCTTCGTCATACCTACATACATTGCCCTACCACTTCTGCGTTGTTCGCCCTATGAGTATCCATATCAGCCTTACAGGGGATCTCCCTGGTCGCACGCGTACACGACAATGAGTTGAGAAAAGTCGGAAAGTGATGTGAATAGGAATTAAAATCAATTTATTGAGCAAGCAAGAAAAAAACAATTACAATTTCTTCTGAATTTCTTCGAGTGTCTCTCTGTAGTATAAAAGATGAGGATGATTTGAAGGCAATTTTTCTTGAGCAATTTCTACTGCTTGTCGAATATTTTCCTTTGCTATACTGTATTTTAGAGTACCCAAATATAATTTTGCCATATTATGATAAATTACGGCTAAATCAGGATGGTTTTTTGGTAGCTTCTTTTCACGTATTTCTAGTCCTTTCCCGAAATATGTCAATGCTGTTGAATAATCTTTCATTTCTCGATATGTTTCACCTAAATTCGTATATGTCGTTGCACAATTCAGAGAATTACATTGAACATTTTCTTGAATATTTAATGCTTTTTGATGAAATGAAAGTGCTCTTTCATAATTACCCATTAATCGATGAACATCACCAATGTTACTGTATGTTATACCAAAATTTGGATGTCTTTGAGGTAGCGTTTTTTGAAGTATCGCGAGACACTTTTCAAAATAATCTAAGGCCTTTGAGTAATCTTTCGTATTACGATAAACTCTTCCAAACCAACTATATGTTGAAGCAAAAGCTGGATTACTTTCTTGAAATGCTTTTTTCTGAATTTGAAAAGCACTTAGAAGGGACTTACAAGCTGCTGCGTAATCACCCATTCTTTCGTACCATGCTGCAAAATTCAAGTGACTATTAGCCAATGAGGGATGATTCGGAGACAGAGTTTTTTCATAGATTTGATGTGCTTTTTCGTAAAATTCAAGTGCTTTTGAGTAGTCACCCATATCATTATACGTCTGACCGATGTTGCTGTAGGAAATAGCCAAATTGGGATGGTTTGGAGCCAGAGCTTTTTCTCTTATTTTCAGTGCTTTTTCGTAAAATTCAAGTGCTTTTGAGTAGTCACCCATATCATTATACGTTTGACCGATGTTGCTGTAGGAAATAGCCAAATTGGGATGATTTGGAGCCAGAGCTTTTTCTCTTATTTTCAGTGCTTTTTCGTAAAATTCAACTGCTTTTGAGTAGTCACCCATATCATTATACGTCTGACCGATGTTGCTGTAGGAAATAGCCAAATTGGGATGATTCGAAGGCAGAGCTTTTTCGTAGATTTTATGTGCTTTTTCGTAAAATTCAAGTGCTCTCGAGTAGTCACTCATGTCATTATACACTTGACCGATGTTGCTGTAGGAAGTAGCCAAATCGGGATGATTCGGAGGCAGAGCTTTTTTTGTGATTTCGAGATCTTTTTCGTAAAATTCAAGTGCTTTCGAGTAGTCACCCATGTCATTATACGTAACAGCAATATTGTTGTAGATATTAGCCAATTTTGGATCATCTTTCGAAAGAGTTTTTTCAACGATTTCGAGAGACTTTTTGTAAAATGAAACTGCTTCTGTATATTGTCCTTGGTTGTTTTTCAACCGTCCGAACTCGTTATAGATATGTGCTTTATCACTGTCGTTTGATGCCTGTTCTAGTAGTGCCATGTACAGTTCTTCGGCCTTGTCGAACTGCCCAATTGTGAGAAGCAATGTACCAATACGGTGCCATCCACTGCTACCTGATGATTCTTCCCGTATATGATCGGTTAATTGACGAAGTTGTTGGTCATCATCCGACGTAAGTTTAAGATCCACTTCATAAAGTGAACGTTTCTTATCAATTTGTCGAACTTCACCAATTCGAAAGACGGTGTGCATCGAGAACAGAATTTCCTCTTCTCGCCCGAAATCACTAACCTCCTCGATGGAGGCAAAAGGAGTCGAAGAGACCATGGGATCGATGGTCATTTGAAAGAGAATACCAACCATTTCAGTTGTTCCTAGTGCTTGTGTAGCGAAGCTGAGCGAGATATCACGATTTTTGCTGGTGGATAAAAAATTATTAAACGATATGAGACCACCTTCATTTTTCGCAAGTTTTTCGAAGTCGCTTGTCAATAATCCTTGGCCCCTATAAACTAGAAAGGACTTCCCATGATACTGACTGACCTGTTTTCTGTGTAAATCTTCAATTTGTCGATGAACATCACACAGGAAAAATCCCATTCGGATGATCATGTCTCCATCCAATGTTCGTAATGCCCGATTGAGCATGTTGAAGGCGAAACATTGACGTGTATACCACCGTAACGCCAATGTTGGATGATAAGTATGTTGAAATTCATTAATTAACTTGAGTTCTTTGGTATTGCTTTTGTATTGTTCTTGGCAATATGTGACCAAATCTTGAATGGCTTTTTGGCTATGTTCCATATTAAGGAGAATTTCCTTAAATATTTGGGTATACATGAAGGAAGGTTCTAGCTGATTGAGATCTTCGCTAGAACCTCCTTTATTCGCACTGATAATACTGACTGTTAATTGATCTTGATTACATTGTTTGACAGCTACTGCCAGTTTTTCACAGATGTGTTTGATTGATGTATGGACGCCCTTGATTTTTGTCCAGTTTCTGGCCCATACTTCGTGGCGTTGTTTGTTGCCACAAAAGATGTATATAGCATCCAGTTTTGGTATCCCATGAATTTTTGGTACCAATTGTTGTCCCAATGCACCCGAGGAGATGACAAATGAAGTCTCCTCGTTGTTTTCCTGGAGCTTCTCAATACACTGCTCGACCGTGGTGCATGGGTTGACTTCATTAACAACACCACGCAATTGTGTGAGTGTATTCTGGCAATCTTCGTTCGCCATGTCGATACTACCATCGACCCAGATGATCAGGTAATTTTCAGCCATTCGTGGTCTTTGTTGTCTACTCATCTTTGATGTAATTTGTGACATTTGCTCGATGATTGAGTATTGTGAATGGTAAGCTGTCGTTTGGATAGGGACCACTGTTCTCTATTTATTCATTCGATGTTGGATGTTTTTTTTCTCGATTCTTCTACGACGTCAAATATGGGTACGGTTTTTTTTCGTTGACACTCAAGGATAAACTTCACCTATTTGCAATTGAATATACGGTTGTCAACAACAAATGAAAGAGAAAGAAAATCTAACAACATAACTTATTTTTATGGTTATTCTTCCCAACTGTCGTTTGCTTTTCATCTATATAAGAATCCCTTGAAAACCAATGCATTGGATACCATGTTGCATGGATGGTTTATTTTTTTACCGATTTTTTTCAAAGAAAAAGGACTTTTCTCATTCTGCCAAGAACGAAAAAAAACAAGAAAAACATCGCCTGTTTTATTTTTTTTTATAATACATATGATTGACATGCTGATAATGTGAATGAAACCACAAGAAAAGTAAATTCAATATTGATTGAAGCAATAGTCTAACAACCATTTTTATCCTTGTCACATATACTGAAACATTATTAACCAATGATTTGAATAAAAAGAAAACTGTTCGCATTGTACTTAACTCTCAACGATATGTGTTGTGCTCTGTGATTCTTGAAGTAATTACGAGTTATCTAACTGAATTTAGAATATGATTGAATATTGAACTGGCATCCCACTCCGCCTCTTTTTCTCCTTTTCCTCTTTTCTTTTAAAATTCCTCTTTTTACTCTTTTTTCAGAAACATCCTCTTTTTCCTCTATTTCTCACGAAAAAGTAGCTTGTTGACGACAACGTCCATGACTATATTGATTAATATTACCATATCGTACGAAAAGATCACATAACACAAACTGATGTGCCGATCAGTCGAGGTATATAGCTAGGGAAGCTAAATTATATGATTTTAGTGATCAACTTCAGCGATATTATATATCCCTAATGGGGACCCAATTTTTATAGTTCTCTAGTGGAGGCAAAATCACTCAATTAAATTTCCAATGTGAACTCATCATTTTCTCACAATGTTGGCAAGTTTTTCTGGTAAAGATCAACATGTAAAATGATAATATCGGCTCACTTTTCTTGACTGTTTTTCTCAGCCCCAGGGAAGCTTGTGATGTGAATCTAACAATGGATAGCTAACGCGTAGCGTAACGCATGCGTCAAAATGAGAAGAAGTTTCCAGAATGGCTAGATCTATTCTAAAATCCTGTCAGATTCGATAGGATTTCTTCGACAAGATAGCTTCTGATAGTATGATGTCATAAGTTGAAGATTTCTGCTTATCAGATACCGATAAAAGTTTTCATGTTATATCCGGCAATATCTGATCCTTCAAAATTACTGGGTTCATTACAGATGCCGTGATATGTTGTTAGATTACCTTACGCTATTGATTTACTGTCAAAATGAAGTAATCCATCTCCCTCCGAGTTTCTTCGTATACGATCACATTTTGGACGATTGTATATCTATAAACTGTACACGGAGAAATATAATCGTATACAACGAAATACAGAGTAAAACGAAAGCCGTAGAAGAGCTTTGTTTGTCCATAAACGATCGTATTTCTGCGCATACAATCACAGATTTATACGATCGCAATACTGGGCAATGTAGAACGCCATATTTCTCCGATTACAAGCGTGTTTGCTTGCCATGGGTTAATATTGACAATGGTTTGATGATAATTGGAAGAAATCGGATATGATGGAATGTGACAGTAATAAACAGGAGCACTCCACTGATCAAAAAGCAGAGGATCCTACAATCTACTCAATACAAATAAGTCGTTTTCTACAGAACACAGGAAGATGACCATATTTTACTGGAAAAATCAAATGTTTTCGACAGTACGGGGCCGAACGATTCCTCACAAACCCGCTGTATCATGGAAGACTTGTTGAAAATTGAAAACAACGAAAAAATACCTTTCTCACATGCACAGTCATCCGAAAAAAGGAACAAAAAACAAAAAAACATTTTATGAATTCTGATCGTTTCTATTTCTGTATGCCTACTTAGTCAGATAGAGTAATATTATAGTCAAATGCTACGCAAATAAAATGAACTATTTTTCTAGTGTTTTCCCGTTTTCTAATGCATACATAAGCAATTGCACAAAAATCTGTGTGAACAACTGGAAGTTCCGTTTCTTTTTTTACTCTTTCAAATCATATTCAATCTATATTGATAACGTACGAGTTTTGTCGAATTTATAGTACTATTGTGCCAGTGAGTTTTAGTTTTCTTCAGACGAAACTGTATGCCTCTTTTTCTCCTCTTTTTTTTACAAAGTGTTGATGGGATGCCAGATATTGAAGTATGCATTATGAAATCCAAGAATGAATGAAACAGTTTAATAGGAACTTTTCTTACAGATATAGCCACCTAGCAAGAGTTTTATCTCATAATTGGGGTTATGAACTTTAGTCATGTAATGCCCTAAACAGTTCTTATTCAAATTCGAGTCAATATTCTGAATAAAATTAGTCATTGCTTGACAGCAGTAGTTGGATTCCGTGAGTTCTAAACTCCTGGAGTGCTCAACAGTACAGTTTCAGTCACGAAACTCTAGGAATCCACGTAATCCAAAGAATTTTCAGAAAGATATAGGTGTGTGTTTCGGTTCTTTCGACACCCACAGCCACACTCATATTCGAGACAGCACTGCAGTTGTTTACAATTTATGGGTACACAAAGTGTGGTGATGTCAATTTCGTTTGAAACACTAAAATTGATCTGTTACCCAAATTTCAATAGTTTATTGAATTCTTAAGGTTGCTTCAGTTCCATGGATTCCGTTAATTTCAAGAGTTCCATGAGTTCAGAACTTAAGAAATCTGATATATCCCTCAGTGAGGTAAATGGCATCTTGAGAGTGTGTGAGTAAGACTAGAAGAATGAATGTATCATCACTTACAATCTTGCTAAAATAATTTTTGATGTATCTTACATTCATTTGAAATATGTGTAAAATAAAAAGAAACTGTGTTTGTTCACCATTGAGATTCGCATAATTTTAGTGTGCATCCTAATGACAACGAGAAAACGTCTGCCCTATGCATACGTTCATAACTAGAACTATGTTTTTAATAAATGTATTTTGATGCAACACATATTAGGAAACATTTGATTTGTATATAGGGGCGTAACCAGAAAAAAGGCGTAGAGGGGGCTCTGCCCCCTCCTCCCAATAGCGCACATAATCTCTGAGATAGGTAGTGGTGGAACTGTTTCGCTCTTTCATGAAAAATTAACTCTGTTTGCCATTTTCGGAATGAGTTTCTTATAATAACAGTGCAGTATAAATTATTTTTCGCGTTGATTTTTAGTGTTGATAACACAATAATCGCGTAAAAATATTTAATGTTTGTTTCACCAGGAAACGCTCTCAAAGACGCAATTTTTCGCAAAAAAAATAAAACATTTTTTTCAAAAAACTATATAAATTCATATCAGAGAAGCTTACGTTTTTCGAGTGACAAGCGCAAAACGAAGTTAGTTGTATTATACCCACAGCCGCCTTCGGCGGCTAGACTCTGAATAGTTATTTCAAAAAAAAGAAGACCACTACGAACGGTGAAAGAACGCTTTGTTGCTGGAAGCAAATGAAAGAATGAAACTTTATTCTAGATTTGAGTCTAAGTGAAAAAAAGGGTTATTGATTAGAAAAAAAGTATCTTGAAGTAACTGATTGGCGAAACGAATTTTTTTTGAATAATAAAGCAAGAAAATTGAGCTATAAAAATATGTTTCTCAAAAAATATCTTCCAGATTCCTCATTTGTTGCGCTGTGAATGAACTAAAAAGTGATTCAAAGGTTTGACTCTCTTTTTTGTGACATTCTGTATACTACATTACATATATTCTAAGTTTACCGAAATATACAGTCTTATGGGA